AGTGAGGTAGTCAATTATGAGCTCAGTAATAGCCCACAAAATGATGTCTGATGAATCTGCATGTGGATGTACTGTGCACAAAGTTTTCCAGAGTTTGCAAATTAGTATTTTTATAGCATTTGAGATAATTTTGTTGTGGAGCACTGAGAGCAACACCTGAATCATGCAGATGCAAAATGTCAACACATACACAAGCTGCATGGCCTGTCATGCTGGCGTTTGACTGTGTTGCTTGTGGCAGCACTCAGTTGAATTCTGAATGTTTGGGTGGAATCCAGAGAAAGACTTTTGGATGCTTTCAATAAATGCTTGGTAAACTTCTTGGACTTAAGATATCATCCAGACAGATTAAAAAGTAAAAACTTAAAACACTTGTCATCTGTTAGTATTCATAAGAAGAGCTTTACTTTTGCGTATTGAATTAGTTATGATTTTGTCTAGGCAAAACATGAGTGCATACTTCATAGGCACATCTGTGTTTCTTCTGAAATTGATTTATACAGCATGTTTGGATTTGAACCTTTATTTAGGAATGGTGAAAAGCCAAGACTTGCTGATCTCCATGGATTAAACTTTTATTTGTCCATTTTAGTGGCTTAAGGATTGTTTGATTAAGTAACATGTCCTTTTTAAAATTTTAATCAGAAAGTTAAAGCTGGTCAAAGAGATTTTAGGCCAGTCACAGCCTACGGATTTACAGGTTTAGGCATTTGCTTGATGTTGCCTCAAAGTTAAATTTGCAACACATAATAGAAATAACTTAATTACACATGGGAAGGCACAATTACATGGGACTAAGCAAGTGTACAAATACACAAGTAATGTTTTACCACTGCTTCACCAGCCAAAGATATGGCTGCTATAGTAATCGTGTTTTATATTGGTAAATGGGGTTAAGGAGGGTACAATATGGCGTTCTGGTCAGGCATTCCTCCAGAACACCACTTCCACGGGAGACCAGAAGTGGTTGTTCCATGTCCTTAAGATAACTGTAGTGTATTTAAACAAGCTTTAGAAATTTTTATTTATTCTCATGCTTGTATTGGTATTTTGCTTCAAGACAAATTATAGCTAGAGAAAACGCTGGAAATATCTTATGAAAATATATTGCTTAATTACGAACAAACATGTATAATCAAAGAATCTCCTTCAGATTAAGATGTTTTTTGAGTGGGCATTTTTTTTTCTCACTTTTTTGTTCACACGATTTAAGAGGATTTAAGAAAATCTCATTAATATAAAATGTTAAGATACAGGATGGGGCTAAACTAAACATGACTGAAAGCAATCAAAAGAAATCCTGTTTTTTCCCTCTTTAGTATTAGGGCTCTTTAAGGCTCTTATGCAGCCCCACCAAAACCTATGACATGTTTGCGATTGTAATGTTGATGCAATCTGGATTCAGGTCCAAATTCATTTTAATGCAAATTGTATCTACATTACAATTTTGACTGTCAAAATAGTCTTATTATACAGAATTCTTTGGTAATGGTTGTTAACAGGCTGTTACCTGCAAAAATGTGTGTTGTGTTTGTTCCAATATAATCTCTGCGAAAAAATAAAAACATTTCAGGGCGCTGTATTTTAAAGATAATTAAAAAAAAAATCAAAATATGCTTTATAGATATTTATTGGAAAGTTTTTTCATGCATGAATCATGACAACATCACTCAGGATGTTTATTTTTTATTTATTTATTTATTTATTTTTTGCTCTTACGGCATGAAGTAAACATTAAACATTTGCAACTGAAGAGATACTGTATTAATCATAATACAGTAATTACAAAAAAATATTACAACAATCGTTGCAAATGCAATTGAGAAACACTCCCTGTGTCACTCTCCTGTACTTTAGATTCAAAGGATAGCTACAGTGTAATCTTTCTTTTTCTGGCATCCATTCCTCATCACTACCATTACCATCATCCTTCCTTGACACAGATGATTTTTCTGTCGCTATTCTCTAGCCCTTTTTTGTCTTGCTCCTCTCTTGAGCTCTATTTTCAAGTACAACAGTCACAGTAATAGTAGTGATGCATGATGTCCAATTTAGTGGACAAATGTATAATCAGAATTTCCTCACAATCTAAAATCAATACTTGGATAATGTAGCAATGATATGACTGCTTAGAAGTTACTTGATGTTACAACATTTTTTTCTTACCTGCAAGAGCCGTCTGCAATCTTGGATTGGAGAAAAATAAAAATCCACATTCAACAGCTGGCCACTGGGTGGCAGTGTATAGGATGATGCACTAGTAGTGTCCAATAGTGGTTGATGTGCAACTATGCCAAGAAAACCCATGCATACACAAGAAAATGGCTTTTTGAATAGCCATTCACTGTAGTAACGTCTGTGAGTGAAGTAACATCTCACAGCAAGAACTGGCAAATCTAGTTCATGAGGCTGAGATGTGCTATATACTTAAAGGGATAGTTCACCCAAAAATGTAAATTCTGTCATTAATTACTCACCCTCATGTCACTCCAAATGACATTCATTCGTCATCAGAACACAAATTAAGATATTTTTGATGAAATCCAAGAGCTTTCTGACCCTCCATTGACAGCAAGGGTACTACCACTATCAAGGTCCAGAAAGGTAGACTAAGGCTACTAAGAACATCGACAAAATAGTCCATGGGACATCAGTGGTTCAACCGTAATTTTATGAAGCTACAAGAATATTTTTTGTGCACAAAAACTAAAATAACGACTTTATTCAACAATTCTTCTCCTCCGTGTCATTTTGCATCATTTTGGAGAGTGCCACGATGTGTGTTCTACCGCAGTAGCACTGTGCACATGCCTTGTTTACATACAGATCAAAGCTCACGCATGCTTCGTGATACTCTCCAAAATGGAGCTAGGGTGACACGGAGGAGAAGGATGGTTGAATAAAGTTATTTTAGTTTTTGAGGGTTTTTTTGCACACAAAAAGCATTCTAGTAGCTTTTATCAAATTACGGTTGAACCACTGATGTCACATGGACTATTTTGTCAATGTTCATGGTACCTTTCTGGACCTTGAACATGTTAGGACTCTTGCTGTCTATGGAGGGTCAGAAAGCGGATTTCATCAAAAATATCTTAATTTTTGTTCTGAAGATGAACAAAGCTCTTATGGGGTTGGAAGGACATGAGGGCCAGTAATTAATGACAGAATTAGCATTTTTGGGAATCCCTTTAAAGCAACTGGTGCCACACAAATAGACTTGTGCCGGTATTCGATAATGCGATATATCACGGTAATGAATATGCACGATATTGTTATCGTGGGCACTTCTAAATGCCGTGTATAATTTTATATTACAAATTATTCCGAATTTTGAATGCATTGTATGCTGTGTGAAAGACACGTGCACACTCTGACGTAAACAAGCGCGGACGAGAAGCACATGGCGGAACATGTGAGAGACGCTCTGGATGAAAGCGCACTTTCACAGCAGATGGCGCTAAACTGCAGAAATAATAATAATAATAATAATTCATTTAAATGCAGCCGTTACCCCGGAAACCCTGTAAACAAAGCAGCTGCGCTACTTTCTGTTTCTGAATCGTGTTTAAATGATTTAAACAGCCATTCAGATTTGTGTATTTGCTATGATGTTCATCACAGCGCCAAATACTTAAATATTTAGACTTAATAGGCTATTTGTTTTCAAACTTTTTTACATTTTAATCTGGACTACAACATGCCCTAGATATTGTTTGAAAGTGTTTTGATTCTTTATTGTTCGGTCACACTTTACATTAGGGCTTCATTAGTTAACGTTAGTTAATTCATTAGTTAACAAACTGCCAATGAAAAATTCTTCTGAACATTCATTAATCTTAGGTATTTCAATATTTAATAACAGGTTGTTAAAATCGAAAGTTGCAACTGTGTTATTTAATGAGCTAACATGAACTAAGACTTGTATTTTTTTAACAAAGATGAATAACTTCTGTAGCAAATGTAGCTATTGCTCATTGTGAATGTTAATGCATTAACTAAGGTTAACTAATGAGGTCTTATTGTAAAGTGATACCTATTTGGTCTTTATAGTTATTTTGCACTTTAATCTGTGTAAAACGTTTAACTTTATACATTTTTCTGTATTGCTTTATTGCATTTAAATGTTCAGTTATTTTTGTTATAAGAAAAAAGTTACTAAACCTGTTATACTGTATTATGACAGCACTTTTTTTAAAACTAAATTTCAATATCGTGATAATACCGTATACCGCAATAAAAGCATTAGCAATTAATCGCAACATGAGAATTTGATACCGGCATATCCCTCCCTACACACAAGATACTCACTGCACTGCAACTTTAGATGTTGATCCCCCCCCTTCCCCACACACACCAGTTTCTGTTTGTTAAATGGCTGTGAATCTTGTTCAGTTTATGTCTCAGTTCTTACATTTTTTGATCATACAAATATTAACACATGTTAAGAAATTTGCTGTTGAATGTGAGAAGGTGTTTCTTTGTTTGCTAACTTTATATATTTGATCTAACGACCATGTTTTTTGTTAAAGGGACTCACACTTTAATATGTCCCACCAAGACTTCATGTTTAACTGGGAAATACAACAAAATAAAAGAAAACGGTAGTTTTCTTACAGTAAAGCCATTTCAATGGCTCTTTAAATGTACTATCGCTCATCAGTCTCTGATCCACACAATTTCAATAGCACCCTCTAGAGGTCAGAGACTGACTTAGCAGACAGGAAGAGGCCATATTTTTCATAGCAGTAGTTGAAGAAATGGCAGCAGACCATCAGTTGCATGTGTGTTGCATGCACAGACAGACATAGTTTTTGGCCTTCTGCTAAGATATGTAATTTTAAAAATCAGAAATACTGCTTTTCTCTGTCTGACTTTACATAAATATGTTCTTTGTGCCCCTTGTAAATTAGGTTCCTTTTACAAACAGTTAATTTGTGTTGAGAATTTCTAAGAAACAGTGCTTATGTTTTTTGTGTTCTTTTTTTCTCTTGTCATTTTAGAGTTCTCACCTGGCGATGATTGACACTTTAATGATGGCGTACACAGTTGAAATGGTCAGCGTGGAGAGAGTGATGACCTGCATACAGAAATTTACTCCTTTCCTTCCTGAGGAAGACTTCCCTTATGATGCTGAAGAGGCCGTGACAACATGGATCAACAAGGTGAGATCCCTACAACTCGCATTAAAATATGTAAACATATTGCCTGCATGTAACTTTTAGTGAATATCAGAATGTGTACTTTTTTTTCTCAACTGATTTCAGATTACCCGGAATGTCTTACAACTTGTCCACTATACATTCAGCTGTGCAGTGCATTTTGAGAGAGAGTGTAAACAAAGAGAACTTGTTCACACATTGTTCTTCGACTTGTGATTGTGTAATGCTATATTTTGCATGTTTATAGCAGACAGACAAATGGCTTATTGTTGAAACTTTCTTTCATTATGGCTATATGCATATTTTATGAAGAGAGACCCATGGGACACAACAATATTTTCTGAGTTTGAATGTAACCCACAGTGCATTTCTTTCAGATTAAAGGGTTAGTTCACCCAAAAATGTTTTACTCACCCTCAAAGCATCCTAGGTGTATGTGACTTTCTTCTTTCAGACGAATCCAGTCGGAGTAATATAAAAAATTGTCCTGGCCCCTCCAAGCCTTTCAATAGGGGTAAGCGGGTGTTTGTTGTCAACAGTTCAGAAGACGTGAAATACAGTGCGCACATCCATAATAAAACGTGCCTCACACGGCTCTGGGGGGTGAATAAAGGCCTCCTGTAGCGAATCCATGTGTTTTTGTAAGATAAATATCCATATTTCAAACGTAATAAACACTTTTTTTCTCACTTCGGAAGTCGTGCAGGCGGATGACGTAGGACGTAGTTTCCTTACTTTAGCAAAAGAAAACCAGTCTTCTCTTGGCTTATATCAAAATCCTCTGACATTTTTCTTTACAAATCCTCGTTTTGTGCTTCTAATTCGTGACGAACATTTTATTTCGCGTTCGTCACTAATCATGCGACGCCTACGTCCTACGTCATCCGCCGGAACGGCTTCCGCTTATGACAGATACTGGAAGTGAGAAAAAAGTGTTTATTACGCTTGAAATATGGATATTTATCTTAGAAAAATGCATGGATTTGTTACAAGAACCCCTCCCCCCCCATCTGGAGCCGCGTGAGGGATGTTTTATTACGGATGTGCGCACTTTATTTCACATCTTCTGAACTGTTGACAACAAACACCCGCTTACCCCCATTGAAAGGCTTGGAGGGGCCAGGACAATTTTTAATAGAACTCCGACTGGATTCGTCTGAAAGAAGAAAGTCACATACACCTAGGATGCTTTGAGGGTGAGTAAAACACAAGCTAATTTTCATTTTTAGGTGAACTAACCCTTTAAACGGTTAGTTCACCCTAAAATGAAAATTAGCCCATAAATTACTCACCCTCAAGTCTTCCTAGGTGTATATGACTTTCTTCTTTCAGACGAATCCAGTCGGAGTTCTATTCAAAATTATCTTTGATCTTTCAAGCTGATTAATGGCACTCAGCAGGTGTTGCAGTGCATCAGTCCAAAAGAAGTGAAATAAAAAGCGCCCATCCATAAAAATGTTCGGGGGGTGAACAAAGGCCTCTTGTAGCGAATCTATGCGTTTTTGTAAGAAAAATATCCATATTCAAAACGTAATAATCACTTTAATCTAGCTTGTGCCAACAGTTGTACACGGAAGCAGTTCCGGGCGGATGGCGTATGGAGGTCAGCTTTGCGTATGCGCCGCTCAAAAGTGACGAACGCGGAAGCGCAGGGGAGAGATCAAAACAAAACAATGGTCACTTATTAGAAGTACAAAACGACGATTTGTAAAGAAGAATGTCGGAGGATTTCGATATAAGCCAAGAGGAGACTGGTTTTTCTTTGCTAAAGTAAGGAAACTTTGCTTCCTTTGCTCCTGTTAACAAATGTTGGTTTCCTCGAGACTCACCGGCGCATGCGCAACGCTGAACTCATACGTCATGCTCCCGGAGCTGCTTCCGTGTACAACTGTTGGCACAAGCTACATTAAAGTGATTAGTACGTTTTGAATATGGATATTTTTCTTACAAAAACGCATCGATTCGCTACAGGAGGACTTTGTTCACCCCCCCGGAGCCGTGTGAGACACTTTTTTATTTCACTTATTTTGGACTGATGTACTGCAACACCCGCTGAGTGGCATTAAACAGCCTGAAAGATCAAAGACAATTTTTTATATAACTCCGAATGGATTCGTCTGAAAGAAGAAAGTCATATACACCTAGGATGCCTTGAGGGTGAGCAATTTATGGACTAATTTTAATTTTTGGGTGAACTAACCCTTTAAGTCTTTTTGGCTGAGCGCTAATTGGGAAACAACAGTTGGTGTTCTGCATACATTTCATTTAAAAACATCTTTAAAAACAAAAATGGATATAATCTTAATGCATACACAAAATTCTGTCATCATTTACTCAAATTATTTAAAACGTTCTCTCTTCGGTGGATCACAAAAGAATATATTTTGAAAAAAGTCTCAGTGTTTTTTCCCCTCTATACATTGAAAGTCATTGGAGGCCAATGTTGTTTGAACCATAACATTTTTAATACATTTTTAAATGACTTTTTTGTGTGTTCTACACAAAAAAGGGATTTGAAATGACATGAGAATAAGTAAATGATTATACATTCTTAATTTTCCTTTAAAGTGATATGTTTTTTTTATATATGTTCATGGGCCCCCTGTGGCTCAGTTTGACAAGTTCAGAATTAACAGACACATAACATCAGTCAAATACAAACATGTCAAATCAGTGTACATGTGTTATGGTATGTGGTTGTAGAAAGCGCACAACAAAGGAGTAAACGTTTATGGTCTTTAATGCCAACTTCAACATAAAGAAAAGGAGCGCTAAATAGCATCAACACACGTGTACCATTAAATGAATATCAATCCAGGATAAAGAACAGAGAGAAACTGAAGGCTTATAAAGACAGGGAAAAAAAGAAGCAAACAAGATGATTAATCAACACAGGTGAACAGAAAGAACTAATCAGGGGAACTAAGGGAAACTAGGTCAAAGAAGATAGAACAGACATTACATTAACATGTTTGATCTTCTCACAAAATTTGCAATGCTTAAAATTTTTTATTTTATTATAATTGCATCAAAATGTGTTTTTCTGCTTTCTAGTTAAGTGTGGTTAAATGTTTAAAAATAGTGATCTATCTGTCATCTTCGTACTGAATGTCGTAAGCAAGTGGCCCATCCATGGCAAAGCCGATGTAGAAGGACACATTCTCTGTGCTGTAGCCACTTCTCACTCCACCAAGAAATGCAGGCCGCAATGGGATCTTAAGATTTCCATACTCTGTGAAGACCTCACCTTGTTCAATTGTACCTCTCACTCTGAGGAGCCTGCTATTAATTGGGGTTTCCTTAAAGATTTCTCCTGTTTGCCAGAGAATGTTGCGATTCTTTACATTACTGACATTCTCAGATCTGTCAAGGGAAACTTTTGTCACCAGCCTCTGTATTCCATCAGATGTCCCCAGGAAGAAGTGTGCAATGGTTGACCTTGTACGGTACATATGGGAGAGATTCTTTCTTGCTGAGCTTCTGATTTTATCAACATATGTCTTAATGCCAGTGCTGTTGACATTTTTTCCTGGCCAGAGCAAGAGTATGGCAAGGTAGAAAGGCTCTGGGTATTGGTGCTGTGTACCAACATCCTGCATAATTTCTTTTAAAAGCTCATTGAGCTCTTCTGTGGATTTTGTTAACTTTGATTTTGAGCAAATCAGCTGATGGATTAAGTGTACAAGCAGATGATTTGTTTTGTCCTTTGTTGTTTTGATGGCAGAATTCTTATATATGAATGAGTATTTTTCAGCAATCTGTTCTACTGACACTTTTTTGGGCTCCAAAACCTGGAGAAGGCCTGGGAATGTATCTGCCCTGTTTTTCTCTAGGAACATTCTGCACTCTTCAATCTCCATATTCAAACTCAGTGTTGGTTTCTGCTTTTTCTCTTTTTGTTTGTCCTCTGCAGAGGTGCAGAATAATGAAATGTAGTGTTGATAGTGTTCTGACATCCTCTTGCGAGTCTTTGCATCTCTCATATTGTCAGATCCCTTTTCTTTCATGTAAGTGAAGTAAATTTCAAGGAAGTCAAATGCCTCTTTCACCTGTGTTTTTAAAGATGTAAGGAAAGATTCATAGTTCTGAAGAACACCAACAAATTCATGATTGGATTTGTTTTTACAAACTGGGATATTTGCGCAGGGCAGATTTCCTTTGAGAAAGCTCTGGATGTAATGATCTTTCATTGGATCACCATTCTTAAACAATGGCAGTTTTTTGACGATGTCAAAAACAGTCATGGCTGTGTCGATTTCACCCATATAGCCAGATATGTTATATGGGCTTAACTTTCTGTGAAGTTCCTGTTCAGTTTCTAGGGCATCATCTGTCTTTGCCAAGGTTTGGGCTTTTCTGAAAGCTTTGGTGGCTGTGCTTGCTAACTCAAGATATCCACTCAAGTCTTCAGCTGTACATGGTTTCTTCTCTTGCTTTATACACTCCAGTTTGTGTTTTAATTCACTTTTTGCAACTTGTCCAACTGTATCTACGGTGTAGGAATTTTCTTTGATGGCTTTCGCAATGTCTGCCCACCTTTTAGCTTCAGCAAAGTTCTTCTCTTTCAGGTACAAATGTCTTGCTAGAGCTTGAGGAATTGTGAAGTCTTTATCAAACCTTTCAGAAGCTGCAGTAAAAATCTTTTGTATTTTATCCTGACCATCTTCTCCTGAGTTTATGTCTTCTATCAGTGGTGAAAACAGGGTGTCTTTCTCATCCCCTTCGGTCTTGCGTTGACGAGTGATCAGCATGCTTTTCATTGATTGAACAAGAACGTCCTTCACTGCAAAAGTTTTGAAAAAGGCATCACAATGCAACATGTCAAGAACTATGTCCGCTCTGGAGCAGTTATGTGTGTTCTCTAGTTGTTTGACACATTCTGTTGCAAGATGTTGATGAACAAAGCGAATTGCTTTGAATCCCCCGTATTCTTCTGCCCCGAATTCAATCAACAAACAGGAGTAGGGCTCCATCTTCTCCAGCACAGACTCTCTTCCCCAAAATGCACTTTTGATGCCCAGAAAATTTTCACATATAGATCTTGAGATGGCTGGTTCAGCAACATATGCATTCAGCAAAGCCAGTATGCAGAAGAGCCGTGTTTGTTTACTCTCTGAAACTCTGAAATCTTTCAGAATGTTAGTTGCAACATTTGCAACATACTCTTGGTCGAAATTAGATTTCATGATCATAAAACTGTAAAAGTTCTCAGTTGTGAAAGACTTTATTTCTTGAAGTTCTTTAAGCTTCATTTCAAAAGCACATTTTTCTTTGTCAGATAGCTTTGCTGTAATGAACTCACTCTGATCTACACTTTTGTTGTGTCTGTCTTGTGGGGTTTTTGTACGTATACAATTTAAGATGATGACACTTGCCCCTGTTTCTCCTGTGATTGTCCTCAATGAGTACTTGAGTACTTGTGTGTGTTCTGTTTCCTCTGAGTCTTCCACTAATAGCAGGACTGGTGTTTTTAATGAATTCTCACTTTTTCCACACTTTATCAGATGAGCAACATGTTGGGATACTTCTTCCTTTGAAATGGTGTTGTCTTTCAGCACAGCACATCTGAATTCTTTTCGCAGATTCCACATCACATGCATGGCCATGGTGGTGCCGCCACACCCTGGGAGATGAAAGAGATTCACTGTGACACAAGTACTTTTGGTATTTTTGGTCTGAGATCTGATACTGTTCTCTAGTTTTGAGTGTTTGTCGCGTTTTATGAATGGCTTTGCTGCAGGTTGCTCTGAGAAATAGAAGTTCCACCATTTCACTTTGCCTCCTCTATAGAACTCAGACTCGGTTTTAATTTTGAACTCTTCAAATTCTGCAGAGCTCTCATCGTATTCGTTTTCACATTCATTTTCACACAGCATTTTAAGGGATGTCATAAGATCCTCATCTTTCTTTTGGAGAATCACTGAACTTCCCTCAGCAGATGGAATAAGTCTCTGAGCATTTTGCTTGTTCTGGCCCAGTTTCAGTATTGTCCCATTGATTTCACTGAGCTCCAGGTCATAAATACTCCACTGACTGATGTCATCATCACATCGGGCTTGAATGAAATCCCTCCATTTTTGAAAGGATGTATCCAAAATGCAAATACTTAATATGTTTTCTGTACCCCCAAGGTTTTTATAAAATGACATGAATGTGTCAAAAATTGGATCGACTGAGGCCTCAACAGTGGAGAGAAGGAGGAATATGACTAAAAATCGTCCTCTTGGAAGAGTGTCTTTGTTGCAGAGGAATGAAATCATGTCTTGTACCTCTCCAGCTTTGTGTTTTAACCATTCATTTGATTGAAGTGGTCTGTCAGATTCAGTGTTGAGGTCTTCTCTGCCATTACAAAATACCCAACTTGTTTGTTTGTACAGGTTGAGATTGTTGACAACAGTTCCTGGATCTCCATGGAACTGAATTGGTTTGTGAAGATTTGCAATCCGAACATCTCTGTAGTTGTGGCAGGACCCATTTACTACAGAGTTCGGATCAAAGTCCAATACACAAAACAGTTTCAATGTTGTCATGAACTGAAGATGCTGGAGTTGTTCAGGATGGCTTTTGTTTGTTACTATAATATAATAATCATAATGATCCAGTCTGCTTCCTCCATATGTCAACAGGTTCTTCAGCTTTTCCCCCTGGTTTGATGTTCCTTTGCTTAGAGGCCTCTTTTCTGCCTCTTTCCTCATGTTGTCCAGAACATTTACTTTTGTACCTATTCGGGCTATTTCAGATTGCAAGTCTCTTGGATTACCAATTTTACAGATATCCTGGGTTGTAGCTCCCTCTCTGATGAAGAGTGATTTTCCTTTGCTCTTTTTCCATTGATTGTCCTCATCCAGCGTCTGGATATAAAACAGCTTACCCTGAACTATGCTGTGGGAAGGAACAACATCCACCTCTATGACATATTTGCCAGATAGGGTGCTGTCAGGGCAGAGCACTTCTACAAAGCGTGGTTGTCTGATGCATTGCTTTGCTTCATCTGTGTGTTCATCAAAGCATGATTTAATACCCTGATTAAAGTGATCAATGATAGTGTCCTTCTTGTCGACAGTGACCCCAGTAATCTCAGCATGAGCATATTGAGAATCTTTGGAGTCTGCTACACCAAAGTGGATGGTTCCATTTGTGCGGCTGTTCATACACCCAGCAGCAAACCGAAACACCTCTTTATTGAACTTCTTCTTTATCACATCAATGTCATCTGTTCTGCCCATAAACTTGTACTCATGAACTGGATCTGTTAGATTACCTGGTCCTGTCTCTGGTGGTAAAGTGTAGTTTTGTATATATCGATGAGAAGCAGAGTTCTGATCAAATGGATAGAGAATACATGAGTGCTGTACGGATCTAGACCTCCTCGTGTGCTTTTCTTTTTCAACTACTTTATCAGCAAAATTTTTTGATGTTTTAGGGTCAGCTGACTGTGTTGGTTCAGTTTCTTTCGAAGATGTACAAGATGTAGAAGTTCCTGAAAGTGGAATACTTTTGTTTTGTGAAGTGGGCTTCCTTAAAGGCTCATTTAGTTGTGGGTCTTCTTTTGGTGTGCTTTTGGAGATGTTATCCATTGAATCTTTTCCCAATTGTATTAATTTGTCTGTGGAATTAGCACTTTTAAGTTCTGTATTTTCTTTTTTGTGTGATTTCCTCTTAGATTTTTTGGCATTTTTAGGTATTTGTGTTTGATCTGTTGAAATGCTGTCTTTGTTTTCCACTGTTGTGTCTAGCCTGGCCTCTGTGTGCTGTGTGTAGGAATGGTCAGGAGATTCTTGTTTTTCTTTCTTTAACTTCTCTAACCAGGTGATAATCTTAACAGCTGGACCATGCTTAATACCAAGTTCCTGAAGATGTTTGGGCTGGTAACAGACGAGTTCTTCCCCTGATACTTCCTCCTCGTACAGCTTGTCTGCATGTTTTTTATCCACTTTAATCACCTCAGTCAGCCAGTAATAAACTTGCTCTCTTGTCCACTCCTCTACTCGAAGAGGAAGTTCTTTCTGTTGACTTGCTGTAGCCATACTAATACAAACAAACAAACAAACAAACAAAAAAATATATATTTATCTTTACATCTGATTTACATATACACAATATACAACAGCCAAAGGCACAGAGCAATCCATAAAAAATTTGTGGTTTATTCCAAGTCTTCTCAAGAGTAATGATCACATTATATGAACATATTTAATTTAGGCTTTTAATCGTATATAAACATTCATCAATATATATATACACACATCAAGCACGTATGGTGTTTGGCATCATGCTGTAAACTAAAATCTTAAAAGTTTCCTTTTGTGGAGATCATAGTAGTCTATGTTACCTTTTTATGGAGTATGAAAACACTCTCTAAGCTCTGTCCCTCCCTGTTTTTTTCTCATCATGTGTTACCAAGCATTCAGCTGACAAGACAAGTAAAGACATATTAGAGTTAAATCCGCACACAATACTTCTCTGTTTCAAAGGTCCATGACACTAAACTATGGGGTGCATTGTGCATTGTATCCATAAATCAACATTATACCTCACCCAGGTTTCTTAAAAGTTCCTTCAAAGCTGTCCTTTAACTTTAAAAAAAAGCCTGTTGTTTAGATCATAGATTTGACGTAAATAAAAATATGTGCTGCCAGATTATTTTTAGTAGGCTATGTAAGTAAGTGAGACTGTTAGCAAAATGCACAGAACAATCTTGTGAATGAATCTGTTTATTTGTGCTTGTGTGTCCCTGTCTAGGCTACATGATTATTACACATGTTCATTTTCCAATGCAGGTAAATGAACATCTTAGAGAACTTTTGGCCCAAGAACAAAGATATATAGGAGAACCCTGCATGGTTCAAAAGGTGAGGAGATTTTCATTAAAACATTAAGACTCTGAAACAGCCATTTTTCCTTATGTTTGCATGCTGTTGAACTTATAATATGATAATATAAAAATATAAGAAGTGATAAATTGTCATGAAAAATACATGTAATTACTGAGTCTTAGAAACATTTGATCTGTACATGAAAATTAAGGCTTTTCCAAACACTTACTTACAATTTCTCTGTGTATCATGGCTATGGCATGGGATCATACAAACTATACATTTCATTCTTTGAGGTTAAACATATCCTAATTGTACTGCTGAATCATAAATTGCCCTGCAGATATTTGGGACAATCTACCAAAGTCAATCCACAGATAACGCTTTAATAAAAACATTTGAAAATAATCTGAAAATAAGAACATTTCAAAGCTCCTATACCGTATACCAATGTAACACTTAAGATTTAATTTGGATTGTTTCTCAGATTTATTCAAAATACTTTTGACAAATATTTAAATAGTTGATAAATGCACTATATTTAAATGATAGCTACTGGCTAAGCAATTTGTATGTCGTTCTACATCAAGAGAAATCAAAGAAATCTTCAACAGTTTTTATACTTACACTATAAGTCTTCTATTCTTCATGTAATGCAGGTTGCTGTTTTGCAGCTTGTTCTTATTCTATTTGGCATGCAAAAACAGTCACAGTGAGTGTACTGTGTTGAGGAATACTTCCGTATGAACAGGCACAGTGCCTATGCAATATTCAAAAGTCCACAGGCCAGTTTTATTGTGTACCTGCCTTTGTAAATTTGCTCCACCTGAAACAACAACTTGAACACACCCAAAAACCATAAAATGGTTGCTGAGAGAGCTCAATGTGCTGCAAATAGAAAAAACACCTGCAAATTAATATAAAGCAGTAATAAGAGACAACATTGATTATGGTTGTATGGTGTATACTTCTGCAAATAAAACTTGGGAGTAAAAAGATTGAGAAGATACAAACGCAGGCAATGCGAATTTGTTGCGGAGCATCCAGGTCATCTCCTGTGGTATCATTACAGGTTGAAATGGGAGAACTGCCTCTAGAGTTACGCAGACGTCAGCTGATGATGACATACTGGACTAGCATTAAGGGTCACTCGGAAAGTCACCCAGTCAAGAATATTTTAAGAGAATGTTGGGAGTATGAATGTAAAGAATGTGTAAGTTTTGGCTGGATTGTTGGGAAGGAAGCACAGAGAATGGGTCTTAATGAGATTGATATTGCACCATCAGTGGCGACTCCGGCGATACCTCCCTGGTTGTTTCCAATGCCATTTGTTGATTTAAACATTCATAAAGAGATAAAAAAGCATTGACATGAACATCCCAATAGTTTCAGTTGTGCAACAATATATAAATCAAACATATTATTCAGTATTGCAGATATACACAGATGGATCTAAAGACCCAGGGACTGGAAGAACAGCAGCTGCAATATATATACCTAAATTAAATATCAAAGTTGCTAGAAGAGTTTCTGATCATGTATCTGTATATACTTCTGAATTATTAGCTATATGTCTTGCACTGCAGTGGGTTGAAGAGGTCCAGCCTAATACAGTTGTGGTTTGTACAGATTCAATGGCGGCTCTGACAAGTTTACGGAGTGGAAAATCAGAAGCACAACAGGACATATTATATGAAATTCTACAGAGTATTATAGGATAAGGCAGTTAAGGTTATTGGTTTATTTTTTTTGGGTGCCGGCTCATGTTGGAGTAGAGGGGAACGAGAGAGTTGATCAGCTTGCAAAGAAGACCCTAGAACAACCACAAGTTAAATTCCAAATTACAATAAGTAAAACTGAAATAAAGAGATTGATATATATATTTAGAAGTTGAAAAGAAATGGCAAAAAAGTTGGGAAAATAAAAGAAAAGGGAGGCATTTATTTAAGATCCAGGAGCGTGGTGCTAAAGAGAGAGTAAGTTATGGAAATAGAAGGAAGGAGGTTATCTTATCTAGATTAAGAATAGGACATATTGCATTAAATAACAGTTTGCACATAGTAGGGAAACATGAAACAGACAATTGTGATAAATGTGGACTAACAGAAACGGTTGAGCATGTTCTTTTAATATGTATAGCATATGAAAGGGAAAGACATCAGATGTTCCAAGAACTGGAACTGATGGGAATTAATAGTATATCTCTAAAGACTCTATTAGGTTATGGGGTAATGCAATCAAGAATATATGGAGAATTGCTTAAATATTTAAAAAAGACAAGATTAATGGAAAGAGTTTGAAGTTCGGAAATTCTGTATTTATTTACATAAAAAAAAATTTTGGTTTATTTTATTATTATAATATATATATATATATATATATTTTTTTTATATAATAGTTGAATAATTCATAGCTGAACTGTGTACGTTTCACACTCCAGACCAGTAGGTGGCGGACATGCACCTTTAACGTTGGTTTGCCAATCCGCCAAAAAACTTGAGAGAAGACGAAGAAGAAATTAAGAAAACAACTTCATCAATTTGACAACACACACTCTGCAAATGCTCACAACACAACCAAGTAAAGAAACGCACTGCAAATAAAATTCATTATTTGGTTGTGTTGTGAGCATTTGCAGCACCTGCTGTCAAACTGATGAAGATGTTTTCTTGATTTGCATGTGCTTTTTCTATTTGCATGTGCTTTCTGAAGTTGCAGCGCGTTGAGCTCTCGGCCGCCGTAAAAAATCCATTCATCCAAACACAAATATCAGCAATAGGGTTGGGAATTGAAAATCTATTCTGATTCCAGAATCGGATACTTAAGGTCAGGAATCGGATACTTGTCAAATTAAAATTTCGATTCCGCCCATCGATTCCTATGCGCTTTTTTTTTTTCTTCATCTGTGAGGACCGTACCTAGCGATCTGCCAGGACCTTGCTCACTAATCTAAGTGCTCCAAAGTGTGGCTACATTTGCGATCAGAAGCCAAAAAAACTAAGTATAATATCTGTGATAGCTAAACATGTTGCAAGAGAGGTGTCACCACCAACATGACAAAGCACTTTAATTTAATAGATCGTTAACGATCGCGAATGCGATTCAAACACCAATGTGATTCTATTCCTAAATTACAATGATTCGTCTGTTTCATTCCTCAACCTTTGACGTGTATGCTCAATGTTGTGATCACTTGGTTCGTCCGTGCAGAGTACAATCACACCAGTGTGATTTGAACATTTAAATCTGCGTTCACGCTGCTATTGACCTAAAGAGAGCAGCTGTCTGTCATGAATGAAACATTCAAATCACAGAAGTACTGGGATAAAAGTTTATAGTTCAGATATAAACTGTGTATGATGTGTATGGTAGCGATTAGAATAAATCACCTTTTGAAAATAATTTGACGCTTCAAATGAAGATTATCGGTTGCATTGTTACAACAGTAGGTGGCGAAAAGGGGCTGTTAAAATGTATTTGTCTTTGAATCATACAAGAGATTCGTTCAAGAACGCGGATTCATCTAGTAATGAAACAAGTACATCTTGAGTGAGTTATTTAATCATTAATTCATAAATTACATGTGACTTTTAGTTGTCTAATGTTTTTTCTTCAGAATCATGAGAGAACCACAACTTCCATTGGGGGGGGGGGGGATGTATCCAGAATCATGCAGTTCTATTTTGCACACAAACAGCTCATAAAGAGTCCAGTTTTTATGTAGCCTGTTGATTTTTGTTCATGGTATTAAGCTCTAATAAATGGTTTGCAAAAAAGAGACACAGGATAAATGTTTCATATCATTTTTTAATCACATTGGAATCGAAACTGGGAATCGAAAAGAATCGGAATCGATAAGCAGAATCGGAATTGATCAAATTAAAACGATACCCAACCCTAATCAGCAAGTCAAGATTTTATAAGCCAGAGATGAAATGCTAAGTTTGAGAGACTCTAAAGATGTTAAGTTTGCTTATACAGATCAAATAAGAAGAAGACATCAGATTTCTGTGGTGATCTCACATTCCTTGTATCCTTTTGCATGCAGTTATAACTATAGCAGTTCGGGTTAATTTACATCAGACCTATCACTATATGCTCAAGTCATTTTGCTCTCTACAGTTGTGTGTGTGTCCCTTAACTCATGTCTTTAACTGGTTCTGTTTATAATGCATTCTTGCTGTTATGGCAACCGTTCTGTGTGTGTAATCCACAGGGGCGGTACAGGAGAGAGGACTCTAAAGCACGTCCGGTTCTTTGTCTCCCCCTGGTGGACAATCTCCTGAAGGACAACACGGATGGCTGCGCTCTGGCTGCACTGCTGCACTTCTACTGTCCTGATGCTGTGCCACTGGAAGGTACTGTTGCAGGAAACACTGAGAAATATGGATCTGTTTCTTCTACCAAATTTCAGCCAGTTCTCACACTATATTGTGAATACTTTATTTATGTTTAAAGAGCTGAAAATATGTAGAGTGACATTAGACCTCGATATACAATGATGATATGTCAGGAAATGACCATGGCACATTGAGTGGTTCTGGGACCATGAGCAGTTGGTTTTATTGTAGACTTTCTACCTTTTTTAAATGTATAATTTACCCAAAATGTAAAATTCTGTCATTATTTATCCACCCATATGTTAAACCAGTGTTTCCCATACATTGATTTATTTGTGGCGGCCCGCCACAATATCAAATTGACCACCACAAATAGATTTTCCAAAAGGCTTTGACTTCGTTTAATAAACATGAGCACTGCACCTTTCAAAATCAAAACCCGGTGTGGGTGTTTATATATCACTGTATTTCTGAAGGAAACCGACTGTCTTCAGAAAATGTTCGATGTCATTTTCATTTAATTTTGCATGTAATGTCTAATAAAGAAGTGTTTGTGGGCAGAGCGCTGCTTTGTGTACAGCCATTACCAGGAAAACCTCTATTTCTCCCGCTCTACAAGCGCCTCCTGCTGGCAGAGAATGAATTTGCGCATATATGCCGCCACAAATAGAGTGTAAGTCTGTGGGAAACACTGTAAACATATGACTTTCTGCCGTGGAAAACAAAAGAAAACATTTTGAAGAATATTCATACTGCTTTTTTGCATACAATAAAAGCAGACATTGACCAGGGGCTGTCAGTTTTCAGGTACACTCTCATGCATTTCATTCACGAACGAGATATGTACCAGTTCGGTCATTTCGTTCGTGAACGAGAAGATCTCTCGATCTTGTTCAGACTCAAAAGAAACTCGTTCAGTGAAGAGCGTATTCGTTCACTACATTCAACAAATCACATGCTCCGTCACATCTCAAACTCGAAGGCTATTGGCTCAAGGTTTAGTCATTCTTTGACAGGATGAAACAGTCCACAGAGCTACCCGGTTCACTGATCTGCGCATGCGTTGCCAATAGCGCCGCGCTGCTGTGGCGGGAGGAATTTCAGTGAACGAGAAATATGAGTCAATGGATTACGTGAACGAGAACGATTTGTTCACCTAAAAGATTCGTTCAAAAAGAACGATTCGTTCATGAACGAAACATCACTAATACAGATAAACCCTCTACAAAATACTCTGCCCTAATCTGGCCCCATAGATAACAGGCATACACACACAAACAGCATCAGGAAAACTACATTATCCACTAAACTCTCTCTGAAGTCCCTCATGCCACAAACGTAACATTCAGATATTTAGAGTCATCTGAAGGAAACAAAGTCTCTGGCTCATTTTAAATTTGACTTAGTGATATAATAGCAGGGTTTCTTTGAATTTAAACTTGGTTTGAAAGACAATTATTTGTGCTACTAAAGCCAATTGATGACACCACAAATGTCTTTGTCACTTTTGATCAATTTAATGCATCCTTGCTATATAAAGGTCAGAATTTCTTCATAAGAATAAGGGTATATGAGGGTGGGGGAAGAAATGAGCAAAAGGAACAGACAGAGCGAGTAGGAGTGCGTGAATGGAAGTTTGAGCGAGAACAGAGGGGCAGTTATTCAAACATAAACACATCCTCCACCCCGTGATTCTGAGGATTCTGCTCATTACATCACACATCCTGGTCCCGCCCTCACAGACTTTATGAAACTCCATTAGCTTCTACTTCAGTTGTCTCCGCCCCCTCAGATCTACTCATAACGTCATTGGCTGTTATGTGGCTTGTTCCCTCCTCATCCAGATATCTGTGTCAAAGAAACGATGTCATTGGCTGACAGTCTGTACAATCTCCAGCTGATCCAGGAGTTCTGCAGAGAAAACCTCAACAACTGCTGTCACTTCACCCTGGAGGACATGCTGTACGCCTCCAGCACCATCAAGGTAAACCTGACGTCAGTACAGTTTACTTCTCTTTACTACATTTATATTTATGCATTTAATAGACACTTTTATCCAAAACGACACACAAAAGAGGGACAAAAGCAATTCGATGAGGAGCCAACAATATTTGTGATATACAATGCCAGGTTTATTTGCCAACTAGATTAGGAAGCAAGAAGAAGGAGAAATGCAGAGAAGAAAAGTGATTTTTTGTAAATAAACAAATGTAAATGTCTTTAGTCTTTACTGATGCCATTTTACTAAAAGATTTATTGATGGATTTTATGATGATTGTTGCATGACAATCGCTGCTCTGATTTTCTTCAGAAGTTAATTTTATGTGCTGATTTTATTATTATTATTTTGTACTAATTTTATTATTATTTTTCCTGGTATGATTTAGGATCTGAAGTTTTCTCAGATGTTTCAACACAATGAATAAGACGCGTGTTTCCTATTTGGTTCAGTGTTGCAATGCAGACTTTACATGGTTTCTAGGATACAGATTCTCAGCGCTTTCTGTGGGGATTTTCCACTGAATATCCTTTTTTAGTTTGAGGCCAAGATGAATGAGTGATGATCACTGGAGTATTACAGGGAATTTCATCAGGGCTGATGCAGGAAAGGAAAGCTGACCAGTGCGTGTTTTAAATCTGACGGTTTGGGATGACTGAGTCATCGTTTGTGTGTATGAGAGAGCTCTGCCAAGTGGATCGCCTCAGACAGTTATGCGAAGTGATTTGTCTAGATAAACCCAGTCCATGTGTAGCTGTTACCTCACACAGCCACCATCATAGCATATTTTTAAAGCAAATGTGTTACAATTTCCAAACTGGCAGTCATGGAATTTCCGTTATGTCAGATGAGTTTGTGGTCGATTATATAAACCAGGTTAAAATGCTTGTTGGCTGCTTCAGCCAATCACGTGCTGTCCAGTAAAACAAAAGTTACATCTGATTTCTATGGTCATTTAGAGCTTAAGTGGTGTTTTTCACTAAATTATGTCTTTTTCATGAGGCTAACACAGCCAGGGCCGTTTTAACCATAGGGCTAGGCGGGGCTGAAGCCCGGGGCCCGAGCAAGGAGAGGGCCCGTGATTGGCTGTGGAGTAGAAAAAGCCACCACGCCCCCCACTTATTAGCGCTGTTATTTAGTTGAGCTTTTCCATAAATTCCCTGCATTACCATTTGAAATTGAAACGTAAAGTCTGAATTTGGTTTACCAATCAAATGCATTTATTCTATATTCGACTTTTGAACGATATGCGCACGTATCTATCAGATGATCGTTGCCCAGTATGTCTGCATTCACCTCTCTTCACTTTGTCCTGGAGTAATCTGGAAATGGTCGCGTAAAAGAACAACATTCAATAAGTAAAAATGTCAGCAATTCTAAAAGAGAGAGGAGCTCAAAAAACGAAAAACTTCAAATACAAACAACATAAAAAAAACATGACATCGTAAATTCCCCAGCTATCAGGTTATTTTATTAAAGCTGATGATAGAGTGGAAGTTGCTGGAACAGCAAGTGAACTGGGCACATGGAGCAGATCAAAACAGTGTCATCGTCCACACAGATTTTTAGGTTAGTTTGATTATTAACTGGATTTAAATTGTTTTTGTGTTTGAACAAACTATATTCATTTAAGGGTTGGGAGATAATCCGGTAGAAATATATCAATCGTTGATTGAAGCGCGTCATGATGTAAGCTTATCATCATTTCAAGGCGTTATAGGCAGGTTTTAAAACAAATGGTTTATACTGTTCATGGACATTACGCTGCGGGGCAGAATTCATTCTGGTAAATGCGTGCGTTAAAACGGTTTCTACCTGATACACCTGCTCGTATTACTGACTAAACTTTCGCTCCTTGTGCTTAAATGGTCAAATACACATTTATGTGTCAAAATGCCCGTCTTTGCGAGTATCCTCGTAAACACAGTTATTTGTGTTTTAAATGAATGTTAATAGTTAAAGATAAAGCATGTGTTAGGCTATATGAGATCCTTAGCCTATATGATGAGATCTTAAAAGGATATTCACCCAAAAATGAAGATACTGTCATCATATACTTACCCTCAAATTGTTCTAAACCTTTATGAATTTCCTTTAGAATGATCGTAACTAGTTTCTGGTCCCAACTGATTCCAATAGTGTTTTTTTTTTCTTTTCTTTTTTTTTCTTCTCATATATGGAAGTAGTGAGGGCCCAGCAACTGTTTGATTACCAATATTGTTCCAAATATATTCTTTTGTGTTCAACAGCATGAAGGAATCTCATACAGGTTTAGAACATCAACAGAATTTTCATTTTTGGGTGAACTATAATGTAGCCTAATATAGCTGCTGTTACCATTTGTGTCAATAATGTAAATCAAACATCAGAAAGAAAATAACTTACTGTCCTTGACTGAATCACTTTTGTAAAAGAAATAAGAATGAATGTATATTGAATTTATACAGTGAAGACTATTCAGTCTATTTGCACATTTTCTTTATACAATATATTTATTATTCAGTGCTTTAAGTTTTTCAAGTAGGCCGTATTTTATGATCTTTGTTCTGTTGTAGCCTAATTTGTGACTGTTTACTTGTCTTCAGTAAGCTTATTTTTACTTAGGCTAGTATTATTTTTTATTGATATTGAAGTTGGTAACAAAAATAATGAAATTTCAGTGCATCAAGAATTTTGATATGGTATAAAAATCCTATTTAAAGCTTATATATATATTAGGGTACAAGGCGCCTTTGATATTATTTTCATCTAAACCACTGGATGGCACAAAAACGTGGCATAGCACTTTCCAACGCATCAGTTTTTTAAGATGCACGTGTATATTTGTCTGATCTTTGACACGATCGCGTGCAGCAGTGCAAAGTTGATTCTGTGCTTACTTGATCTAATATTTTATGTTTTTAAAAATGTTGTAGATTTAAGTAGCAAATGAGAATCGCTAAAATTAATGCATATATCTTGAGAGAAAGGTCTTCTTTGTGATTTTCAGTTTTGTTTTACATAATTAAAGCAACAGTTTTTAAATAACGAAAGAATATGTAAAAGTATGGTATTTTAGC